ATTTATTATTTCTTCATCGATTATTATCGCAAGTAAAATAATGAAATTATTTATCATATTCAATGGAAGTTTTCTCATGTTATTAACTTTGCAATACACTCATAGCAATAAATCGGCTTTGAGAGTTCATCATAGACTTAGCCGCATCCTTTTATGTTTCATTTACTTTTCAATAGCCTTTCTATGGATAGGTTTTCATTCATAAAACTTGCAGCACGAAGATAGATGGCTGGATTTGGGACTGGGTTAAGCAACTGATCTTGGTTTTGAAGGATTTGCGGTGTCAATTAAACGATTTCATTTGGCTTAAACATTAGTCCGTCTCTAAGCTGAGCCGCGTGCCTGGCTAAGCACCTTGGCCACAATCTGGCTCGAGTGGCTGCACTTCAGCTGGGACAATAAGGCACTTCAGTGTGCGCTTTGTGCCTAAGTCCTTAAGCGCTTAAGCAGCCAGCACAACAAGAGGACAACATCTTGACCCGGTTTACTTAACACTTTGATAAACCGCTTAGCAAGTAGCTGCGGTTGACCTAAGCCATGGCTGCGCATAATCAGACCATTTCTATAAAGATAGTTTCCAATAGATATGTATATATGTATATGTATGTATGTAAATGAAGATATTCATTCATTCATAAGCCTTATCTGTGTGTGCTCGAAGTCTGCTCCCATAAGGATAACACATGTTTCCATTTGCTTCTGTTTCAATTTTAGCTACAACTCCCCCATCCCCCATTCAACGAGGTCTGGCTGCATACGTTTCCCTGGAAATTTACTGTTACTTTCTCCACGTGTTCACTCGCTCTCCTTCTCTCTCTCTCTCTCTCTCTCTCTCTCTCTCTCTGTCTTTCTCTCTGCTCCTGCTGATCTTTCTGCTTAGCCAGCTCCTTCAGCTCCTGCTGTTACATGTTTTGACTACAACACACATTGAGACATCAACTCACAATTGTCGCATCGACAATTTTGACAGTTCTTCGCAGTTGTTTCCAGTTGTTCCCACTTGTTGTTGTTCAATGAATGTGCAACTCGCCAGGCAGTATTTTTTTGCATTGATTGAGTTGTCCTTCACTTCTCGTTCATCCTTATTCAGCAGTTTCTTGGCACTGTCGCACTATATGCATTCCTCGTAGTGCCTTTGTGGCTTTCTTTAGTTGGCCAACTTCAATTTGATAATGGGCCAAAACAGAGACAAAAATGCTAAAGATTTGCTTACACAATTCAAAGTGTGAGGTCCTAGCTCTCTGAAAAACCTATTAAGCGACAATCGCTACAATGACAGCCCGGAAACAGCTCAA